CCTCCTCCTCCTCCTCCTCCTTCTTCTTCTTCTTCTTCTTCTTCTTCTTCTTCTTCTTCTTCTTCTTCTTCTTTTCTTCCCCTTGTCTCCCCCACTTCTTGTTCTTCTCAGCCTCCTTTCTTTGGGCAAACAACTCTGGATACTCTTCTTTTTCATTTTTTCATGGTCTGAACTTGGGATACCCATCTAATAGGAATGGCTGTGTAACTCTGTGTATGGATCATTGGGGCTAACTGTCATGTTACATGTTGCACGGTCTGACCATACCAGGCTGGGCAACAAGGCCACTGGCTGAACATAAACATACGTATAATATATCTATATTACTATGTATGTATATGTGTGTGCTTGATACGGTATCTTACTTTTGTGTTCTCGCTTTTGACAATTCTTAGACTCTTGACCTCCCTACCCGTGACCGCGCAAGTTCACGAATGGTGTAGCAATTGCCCCTCTGTCTCCAACATGGGCTCAGTGAAATTGAATTCTCCATGAAGATGCGGCGTGCCAGCGGCCAGACGGTAAGACCCGGTGCGGCTTTTCCTGGAATGACGTAACATCGCAGCCACTGAGCTTTCCAGGGCCTCCTCCTACCCCTTTCACTGATAGACAGTGCAGGATCATTAGAGCTGTATCACACCCAAAAGTTGCACTTAGTACAGTTCTAATGACCCTGCATTGCATTTGGGAGATCGGGATAGTCACTGTTGTTAATCCTTAAACCACCCCATCTGGATGGGGCTCAGGCCGTGGCCTTTCCCGAGGCCCTTGAAAGGCATGCCAAGGACTTGACTCCTGGAGCCTGGAGGGGATGCTTAGGTTCAAATCCGTTGTGTGTTTTGTGGTCGTCGTTTTCTTTTCCAGTATTTTTAAATCATTTGTCATGTTCTTGAAGTTCTCTTTTCTGTAATCTTATTTACTGATTCGTTCTGATCCCTACCGTGCAGGTTGCTGGTGGGCCGAAGATTCCAATGAGGTATGGTCGTGTTGACGTCAACTCGCCAGAGGACTGCTCACCAGATGGGAATCTCCCGGGTTGGTACCGTGGCTCTTGGCCCACCACACAAATTCAAAGTGCTTTTGTTTCACCATAGCCATCTAAGTATGGCTACCAATTTCACCATGTCCTTATGGGTATAACAGGATTTGAACCTGCAACTATTAGGTTACAACTTACAAGGCCAATGGTCTACCAACTAAGCTATACACCCAGAATCCAGATAGGCTTGCTAGGATTTGAACCTACGATATCACCTTTATGAGGGGTGCATTTGAAGCTTGAACCAATTAAACTTTAAGCCCAGGAACTTGCTTCAGAAACAGCAGGACTCACTCAAGGGTGAATTAGTAAAAGAAAGATACAAGTTTCCTATATGAATAGGAATCAACGGAATAATAGCAAATTATAGTGTCTGTGTGTGTGTGTGTGTGTAAGAGAGAGAGAGAGAGAGAGAGAGAGAGAGAGAGAGAGAGAGAGAGAGAGAGAGAGAGAGAGAGAGAGAGAGAGAGAGAGAGAGACAGCAAAGCATAACTGGGTTCTCCTCCCTCTTCGTCAGGGGTATGATGTCTCTGGGGTTGAAGACATAGCAAGGCAGCAGAATGCAACGAGTACTTGATTACTAATATATTGCTAGGTTGTTTTTCAGGGCGCCAGCACACCCAACTTGTGTTGGATACATGCCCGGGTGCACGGCTGGCCACGACCCCCCCGGTAGGGTTCCGGATAGACCCAGTGCGCGGCAAAAAAAAAAAGAAAGGAAACCAAAAAATTCTGGGTAAAAAAAAAATGTTGTGTAGAATTGCAATGCAAATCACGTTTGGCTGAGCGTCACATCATAATTCTTCACTGAGTCCAAGATAGAAAATAAAATAAAAGAATCAGACTCACATCATAATTCTTCACTGAGTCCAAGATAGAAAAGAAAATAAAAGAATCAGACTAACTTGACTAAGGCACTCCTCTTTAAACCCCTTTAGACCCTTCAAAACCAATATATACCGTCCTTCCCTCCTACCCTTTAGCCAATATATACCCTCCTTCCCTTGGCAGCCAACACTCCTCTGCATGGGAAAGAAAAACAACCTAGATATATTGTGAATCATATGTGGAGGGGAAGAGGAAAGGAGGGAAGGGGATTGCATAGAAAAGGAAAAAACAGATGCTTGCCGCTCACAGGCCCTGGCCTGGTCAGTGGCCCCTCATGGGTACTAGATTTGACAGACTGAGAAGTAAAAATGCTTGCCAAGTTTAAATTTCTGTCTGTAGTCAATTCTATGTGAAGACTCTGAAGAGTGGTAGTTAATAGAGCGGACCAATGACTAAAATAAAAAGTGGATGGAGTCCGATGGACTTGAATATGTTGCAAGGATTCAAGACCTCGGGTAAGTGCAGGCGGGCCTGGCAAATGCAGCTGGCCCTAAGACAAGGGCAATGTGACCAGAAGGGGAACTGGGGTAGTTGCCAGCCTGAGCGCAGCATCTGTAGCTAACTGGTCGGTCCAGCCCACAAGTTAGGTGCATATGTTGGGCCTGCGTGCACTTCTGGAAGGGCCCGGGCACAGGAAACTGTGACAGGGCACAGCCTGGCGGTGGCCTCTCCAGCCTCGCATCCAGCACAAAAGAGAGGAGGCCTCCCAGACTCACACATTTGGGCATTGTGCCAATGCGGCAGCACTGCTGGACCAGTAGCTGAGTGGTGTGCCTGTGGGAAAGTGTGGTGGCAGCAAGGACGAAGGAGGAGAGCGCCAGCCATGGCCGGGCTGAGGGCTCCATAGCCAGAAAGTGGAAGTGCGGAGGTCCTTGGTGGAAGAAAGGAGAAGGACAAAGAAGGGAGGGGATGTGAACGAGGCTCGTACCTGGTGTTGATGAAGGCAGGCTGTTTGATCAGAGTCTTCAGGTGACATTGGGCATATGACAAGTGGTCTGGTTGGTGGCATGCAGATAGGCTAGTCATACAGCAGCTAGGGTGTAGAGTCGGCGTCCAGGACGCCTGTAGGGCGAGATACGTTGTTGTTGCTTCGATGATTGGAGGCGTTGGAAGGGCTTTCTTTATCAAGAGACTCCGGTGTATTGCTCGTTCCTATGTGGTGTGCATCTCGATTGATTTCTTCTTTCAATTTCGACTCAATTATGTCGGGTCTTCTGTGAGATGTCACAATCAGATTTATTGCTGTTTGCAACTTCACATTGCTTATTTCCTTGCAACATCTTTCTTCTTTTTCAATTCTTTATTAATAAGTGGCGTTAATTAAACTTAATTTTGATTTTTATCAAATAATTCAAAACTTCAAATTCATTTGAATTCAATCAGGGGAATATATTAAATGAGAGGAGGTGCCTCGATCCAATCCCGCTATTCATTCCCACCAATTAGTCTTTGTGACTGTGTTCACCAAATCAGGGACTGGTGACAGTGCGAGGATTCCTTGCAACAGTCTCTTGGTGCTGCTTCACTTGCTTGTGCATGCTTCTGCTTCTTCCTGCCCCTCGTTATGATTTTGCTACCTGGAGCCTTCTTCACACACCTTGCAATATATTCCAAGTCCCAAGTTCCAAGTTCCAAGTTCCAAGTTCCAACAGCTGTGTTCCAAGCTGAAACTCCTCAAGCCTGCCTGTTGGAACTTGGAGTGCAATGGCAGCTGTATTTCTGAAAGTTGCAGTTTTCTCTGTGCCTGAGTCATTTTGAAAATTCCAAGTTATCTAAGTTGATGTGTTCTGACCATCTTGTTTTCTACTGCAAGGTTCAGCAGAACGTGCTTGCCATGCGGGTGCTGATCGAGTTATCTTGGAACTTCGTAAAACCCTTTTTGTGAGGGCCTGTGAGCCTCTCAGCAGGCAGTAGAGGACCACTACCGTCATCACCTGAATAGAACGCCCGGTCATTATAGCCGTATTTGGGGCAACTTTCAGACCAGATGCAGCTATAATGACCGGGTGTTCTATTCGGGTGACGACGGTAGGCCCTTAGTCCAGGCCAGAGGGAGTTCGTGCCCAGTCAGGCCCAGACAGGGACCTGATAGGCCTGTCTGAGACCCGGTAGGGCACAGGCAAGACCGGAAGACGCGAGAAGGCAGCACCTTCTGGCTGAACAGGACCCGGCTCGCCATCCATAGCTTGGCTGAGGAGAAAGTGCATCGCCATAGCTGTACCGCGCTGAGTAGCAGACTGTGGCGCTGGAAGGGGAGATCTTTAGGGGAAGACGAAGGCTGCAGGGAAAGGCACTTCCCTGGTGGACACCAAAAAGAGGACCTGGCTCACCTGCCATAGCTTGGCCGAGGAGGAGGAGCAGCGCCGTAGCTGTAGGGTGCTGAGGAGTAGAAAGTAGTGCTAGAAGGGGAGATGCTTGGGGGGAAGTGGAAGGCCATAGGGAGAGGGACTTACCTGGTGGACCAGAAGATCTTCCAGTATGACCTGGTCTTCGAGCAGGCACCGGCGGGAGCAGCATGTAACTCTCAGGCACTGTACTATAATGTAGTGTAGGCTGGGAACTGATTGTTGTTGTACTGGTTGTTGGTAGGTCAGGAGAAGGCTTTTCATCCTAAAAAATACTCCAAGGTGTGATCTCTGCTTTTCGTGTCTGCTACTCGTCTGGTAGCTACGTGCACTGTGTTCAAGAGAGTCCATGGTGTTTGTGAATTGAGCTTCTCATTTGCGGTTCCTTTGCAGTACCTACTACCTACCTAATATTGTCATCATTTCATGTATTGTTCTTTTGATGTTGCATTCTTCTTGCAGCTGCAGCACCACCTTCTCCTGCCGATCATCTGCGCAATGTCTTCTATCGTATGGGTCTCACGGACAAGGTATCCGTCCCTCTGCCTCGATCTCACTCTTTGTTTGTCTGCATGTACAGTTCCTGTTTCAGTTCTCGTTCGATTCCCACTCCTCACTTCTATTTGTTACTCTCCCAGAAGCATCATCAAATGAATATACGACGTGCAAAGGTCACTTGCACAGATTACTACATTAAAGCAAATTTAGTAATTCACTCCCTTTAGTGCACACAGAGTGATTTTATGGCAGATGAGCAGGCAGGGGACTTTTCGACCCAGGCAAGGGATCATGGGTTTTTGTTTTCTCCTTCTTGGGGTTTTGTTTTTTCCGTCAGCGTGTTCTTGTTCCTATCTGCTGATTTCGCAGCCCTAAGGCTGCGGTATAGTGGGCTTCCGCATCTGTGTCAAGGTGTCGCATTTTTGGCGGCGGGCGACCAGGACGCAAAGTGGGTTCTTAGGGGGCAAAAAAATTTGGGCGACCGGTCCTTGCCAAAATTGCGGACTACCTACAGCTAGCTCTGGTAGAACCAGGACTTTTGGAAAAAGGAAGGACCAGTCCTCGGGTGGAAGTGGACCCCAAAAAGAAGTGGGGGGTGTTGGACCGGTCATCAGGTAGAAGCAGACCCCAAAACGAAGTGAGGGCTTGTGAACTGCAAAAGGGCCCTCGGGCCCAGGCGTTGAGGCCTGTCTTCTCAAAACAGGGAGGTCAGGCACAACGAAACAGGCGTTTTGCAAGAGACAACTTTGGCAATTTTCTGTGCTCGGGCAAACCCGCAGAAAAATCTGAAATTTTGAAAATCCACAGATGAGGTCGTGTTCTTTCCAGGAGAAATATTATAACATTCTCAAAAAATCATTTAGACTGCGAAATAATTGTCGCGCCAAGTCGGCTCATTTTCCATTTTTGCCACTCAGCCATGTGTGGGCCAGCCAGCCATGGGATAGGGGGTATGTAGGATTTGATTTCGTCGTAGATTTTGGGTGCATTGGTAACTGGGATGGTCCTTGATGGTTCGAGCCGATGACCTATAGTAGATAGCTTGTGGATTCTGGAAAGTTTTT